CTTCCCGTCCTTTCTTCCTGCTTGCCCCTTCCATTTGTGAACATCGTCTCTCCCTTATTGTGTTTTCTCTCTCTCCTTATACAGCATCTATAGATATATACACATATCTCCTGCCTACTGTATCTCCTTCCTTCCCGCCATCTCGATCCTGTGCGTGCTTTACTGGGGGGTAAGTCCCGCGATCCGCATGGGACTCGCTCCTTCTGTAGATGTGCCGAGGCTTGCGGCCTCCTTCTTATCCCTCTCAAGTGGCTAGTGGCCATTTTCGAATTTTCACTGGCCCGGAAAACAGAAACTATTTAACCAAGCCTTTTCTCTCCCCCACTTTCCGGGAAATATTTGTTCGAACGAACAAATATTCGAAACACCCCCCTTGTACGGTATGACTTGCTTAAAAGGGAGCATTTAGAGTCTCCCCCCCCAGCTGAAAATGTTGATTTTTAATATGTAATAGAAATGTCGATACCCATCCCTCTTCTGCCAGATTTTCAGCTGGAAAATTCGTCTAGCCATCCGCCTATTATGCTGCATAGGAGAAATTCAAATACAATATTTCAAGTATAACTATAGTTCACATGATTTGAATTTTTTTTTTGTCCAATTGTGCCGACAGTTATTTTATTACAGGTTTCTTTCGACTTCGTATTTTTGTTTTTCTTCTTGGTGCGAGGGAGGAGCTCTTGGGGAAGAGCAGGCCAAGGGGGATAAACGATCTCCTTTTGTGGCACTTTGACTGTCCCACATACTGTTGTTTAAGCTAATAGGAGTGGAAAGAGGAGAGCTTACGGGGAGGATTTCCTTGAGAAGGGAATTCAGTGTTAATCATCCGGATCAAATCCTCTCCTTTCCACCTGCACGAGACGGGCAGCCCTTTGCTGGAGAAAGGAAGCTGAGGAATCAGAAAGCAAGATGTCACTGGGGGCGGGCGTGTAGGGTGGCGGCGGGGAAAATATTCCGATCAAAGTGAAAACCATAATTGTCACCACTTTATCCACATCCTATCGTCAAGGCTTTGGACGCTTCACACGTGTAAGCCTGCGTTGCGTTTAAAGGATGGCTCTCGAAGCTGTAGAAACGAGAAAGAAAAAGGAATACAGTAGGAATAAAGAGTAAAAGCATCCAGAAACTTCTACAGAGGAAAATAAAATAAATTGGCCTGAATTTTAAGGGGGTGGGATAGAACACTTGTACACGGGAAAAGTCGTGAACTCGGTGGATGGGGCTAACCTCGTGTGACCTTGTCTGAGTGGCATTTGTATGTCTTCTCTCTCAAAAGGCCGTTATTGGGGGGTGGGGACCAATGGGAAACATGAAATGGTTTATAAACAGCTATCCCACCACACATACCCCAGAAGTACGCAGTAAGGGATTCCATTTTTCATTTTTTTCCCAAAACTTTTTAATTTTAATTGATAAACTAGTGTGACAGCGGTCATTCTTAAATTCCGAAACGTAGAGATTTTCATTGTACGGATATGTTGGTGATTGTGCTAAGGGTGGGAGTTGTAAAAGAGAAAGTAGATGATATCATCATCATCCGCCTGGTTGTTGGCCTAATAGGTTCTCTTATAGGGTTTTTCTCCAATCGTTTTTTCCTCCCCGAATTAGGGATCTGGAAAAAGGAGAGCTTAGGTAAACATTTACTGATGTAGAGCAACGATACTATATGATATGCAGGAAGGGAAGTGTTGATTAACACAGAAGAGGGAAAAAAAGAGAAATTAGCTGATTGCATGCTCATAAGTGCAAGCTGTCATTGAACTGCTTTTAAAATAGACACAGCTGGGTGTTTGTGTTGCAAAAATTCTTGTGTTTTTGCTAATACTGAAATAAGCATGATTTTGTATACCAAACATTTTCGGATCATTAAAATTTGTAATCTGCTCTGGTTGTGAAACACAAAGAGAAGGAACGGATTCCTTTGGCTGTCGAATTTGCTGATATGATATTAACTCAATCAGGTCTTGACAATCGGGGCCAATTGTGTCTTGTCAAAGCTCTTTGATCCATTTAAAATACAAAGTGTCCAAGGTGGGCATTGTTTGTTAACAGGGGATGGTCTAGTCCCCCCCCCCACCTGCCGCCAGTCCAACAGAAGGAAGGGAGGAAACGTTTGTTGAGACCCTGACGTCGCCTGTTGAAATTTTAATGCTCTCAGGTGTCCCTTAGGTCGAGAGCTCTGTCTACCAGGGCTTCGAATCTGGCATGAAAATTTTAAAAAGGGGGGAAGAAAGCAGGGAGAAACAAAAGAAAACACAAATCCAGAGTTCTCCTTCTGTGGCCTCCGCCCACACCAGCCAGTCTTTACTCAAACGTGGGAAAATTGAAATACCTTCCTCCAAAATTATCAATATTAAATATTGGAATCACCATCTGCAACCCCCTTCCAAATGCACTCTGTGGGGGAATAAGTAGTAATCCCCCCCATTAAACCCAAAAGACCGAAGCCGGTTGTCTTTTGAAACTCTTGGCTTAGCCATCACTCTGGATTGTTAACGGAATCCAGCATTAGTCTCTGGAAGCAGGTACTGTATAATGTAGGGAAGCAAATGATTCCGGTCTCCTTTTCAAAAAACAGAGAGAGAGAACGATTGTGTGAGAAGCTCGTGAAAGAGAAGAGAGGAGACATCTCTTCCACGCAACGATCGAAACTGCGATTTGACGCGAGTTGTGCTTTTCAATGATAGCGCACTTGGTCCTAGATGAATGTCTCTTTCGCCCCAGTTCAGATAGATAGATAGATAGATAGATAGATAGATAGATAGATAGATAGATAGATAGATAGATAGATAGATAGATAGATAGATAGATAGATAGATAGATAGATAGATAGATAGATATGTATATAAATAAATGCCTCACACCAACTAATGGGAGAGTCTTGCCTCGCAAGTTCAGTATAAATCGTCCGCACAAAGAGCGGTCAAAATTCGCATACCTGAACGGAAATCGTTCCGGCTCTTCTAAACTACCTAAAAGTGGAGTGAGATAGAGAGGTGAAAAAGTACAGGGAGAATTTAATTCGCATTAATTTTATGGGTGAAGGAGGAGTTTCGGGTATGATCCAATCAAAGGAAAGGGCTTTTTTCTCAACGCAGTCCTCTGCAGGCCTGTTTCGAAGACCCGTTGAGCTGGGCAGAACTTCGAGAATGCGGGGTGGGGTGGGCGTAGGATCTCATTTGCAGCCACATTGGTTTCGATGAGCGAACCGACCTGCAGCTTAATTCTTTACCATTGAAACCAGAGAGACCCAAAGCCCTAAAGTAGTGATTTTGGCGCCCGGGACAGGAGGCACAATCCCCCACCTACTCACTCCGCCCTGAGCAGGGGAGAGTGGGAGAATCCCTAAGAAAATAATAGGGGGAGAATATGATTCCCTCTCCGCTACTTTCAAAAACAAAGTTTATGCTTACGAAAAGAAAAAAGAAAAGAAGAAGAAAAGAAAAACTGAATCGACCTGAGAATCGTTGCCGTTTAATTTACCAGCAGATTCACCTCTATATTTCCCTGCTCTCTAATTTTGGGTGCCTTGGGGGGGGCACTCCCGTTGCTTTGCCCTCTTTTACGGCCCTGTGATGTTCCCTTACATACACACACACCGTTGAAAGGAAATTACTCCACCCCACCCCACCCCAAAGGAAGATCCCGCAAAACCCCTTGTGTCTATCTCGTCTAGAATAGAGGACTGTTTGTCCTACACAGCAATGGGAGTGAACCTGGAAGGCTGGAGGAACCGGCTTAAGAGATACCAAGGCATGGAAAGCCAATTTGTTCCGGAAAGGGCAATCAAACAGCTTTAGAGTGAATCGAACCAGTAGTTCGTCTCGTGTTTCCCCAGGGAAGACCCATTTCCCTCCATCCTGAGAAAACTCTGGCCGTAAGCAAGAGTTGGAGCTCAAAGCAGAAGAAAAGGCAGCCAGTGTTTCCTTCAACTGCTGGAGCCTCCTCCTTCTGGTTTTCTCGTTGGCTTTGGGGAAGAAATGAGCCAGATGGAGTCATTTCGTTCTCCTGTTTCATGATGGAAAAAGAAAACTCACTTTTCAATTCCTAAGGCAGATGGGAAGGAGAAATATTAGGTCATGCTCTCAAACGCCCACACAGGTTACCCCACCCCTCCTTCAGTTTCTAGGGCATTTGCCAATTATTCTCGGTTCTTCCTACCACAATGAAAGGAAATACGGAGGAACGCTCATTTCTCCACCCAAATTGCACGGATTCTGCTACGATGAGACCGTGTTCTCCTTGTGCTTCCGCTACAAACTTTATGAGAGGAGGAAGAAAGGCTGGTGGAGACAAACCTCTCTCCCCCACCCCCATGTCTACATGAAACGTAGCAGGGGGATTTCGAGGCCTTCTGCGTGCCAAGTGAAAGATGCCTTCTGCAGCGATGGCTAAGACACGGACTAGCCGGCCCTTCTGGATCACTCATGTGTTTCCACCCCGCCTTCGCCAGGAAGGAACCTCCGTGAGAAGGACAGGGAAAGATAATAGCAGCAGTGGCAAAGAACACCATCCTGATTCTTCGCCATGAGACCGGGAAGACCCCGGCCTCTGCTCCCAGTCTTTGCTCTGATGTCGCCGGCTACCCGTGGGAGGGAGGGAGAAATGACATGGTCTGTGAAGAATGGCCATGGTAGGATGCCACGGAGAGAAAGGGATGCCAGCGAGGAGGAAAGAGAAGGAATGAAGAGACCCAGAGAGAATACCGACAGGGCGATAGGGTATTAGCTAAGTGTTAACACGAGCTAGTGGCAGAGATCTATAGGTGGGTTGAGATAATGCTGGTCAGACAGGTGGGTACGAGGATACAGAGGAAGCAAGTGGTCTGCCTCCAAACACGGCAGGTTCCCCCCCCATCATATCCATCCCCGCAGCCAAAAGGGTCTTCCGCCTCTCTAGCCAAGCCTGGTGCCATCCTTAGCAGCTGGGAACGGCGCTAACACGGAGCGATTAGAAACTTCTCTCTTTAGCGTCTTGGAGTCTTCTTCGGTGGGTTTTGGTTACAGGTTCTACCATTAGGCTTGCGAGAACAGTAGTGAACTAAACTTCCCAGTGAGAGGTCTTCACACCAGGGAAGTGTGACTTTCCTGCCGCAGCCCTGCCTCGTCACTCATTAGGACGCCGCAGGTTGTCAGCACCTTCTTCCTCTTCGGCGCGCACACGGGTGTGCACGTTCGCGCGCTCGCGCGCGCGCCCCGAGCCCCAACCCTGAAACTAAATTAAGAAGCACATGATTAAGAGACAAGCGTCTACGGGGCCTGTCATTTCAGCATCCTTCCATCATAACATTGTGGCACGGGGAAATTTGCTTGAAAACCTTTGGAAAAAAAAATCGATGGAGGAGCGTGCATAGCGAGCGAGCGAGCGAGCGAGCGATTGCGTTTAGAGTCGGAGAACTGCTTGCTCCGGATTGTCTTCTGAAGAGGAGAGAGAAGAGAGGTTGGCAAGATCCCAGGGGCTCCCAGAGACTTCTTGGAAACTCCTGTACAGATCTCTGGGTGATCTTCAAGCAGGTAGGTGGGCAACTTGGAAGCCAAGGGGAAGGACTTCCGAAGCCATTCCGAGTGGATCCGTTTGGGGAGGGAGAATAAAGCACCCAACCGAATTTCTCCCCAGCAGGCAACGGGGGAAGTCCCCTTAATATTAGCGCAGTCTGGAACACGAAGTTCCCACCGGCTGAGTAATGCTTGTTTGCAGGGAGGAGGAGGAGGAGGAGGAGGCGAAGAGGGAGGAGGAGGGGGCGGCAGCGCCTGCCGTGGCCAAGATCTTGCCATCGATACACTTTCTGTGAAAATATTTGGGCGGGAACGGGGGGAGTCGATCCAAGACTCTCTTCTTTTTCAGGCCTTCCACTTCGTTTGTGGTCTGTGTTTCTCCGCATCCCCGCCAGTTCTTAAAGGGTTAACTGCTCCGGCGCAAAATCGGAGGGGCCTCTGGCTCTCTATTTTGGAAGAAGACTGGAAAAGAGGGGCAGGGGTCCACCCGCCTTCGAGACCTTTTACGATCCCAGCGGGTTGACTCGGAAGTAAGTCTTGCTCGGCTTACTCCCAAGGAAGTATGAGGGACGTATAGTATTACTAGCTTCCCAAGAGGAAGAACGGGGAAAGGAGGAGGGATGCTTTGGGCTGGTTTCGCTACTTAGATAGTTTTCCATACCCTAAAAAGTGTGCCAGCTTGTTAGTTACACAGAGTTCTCTTCTGGAAACTAAGGTAGGATTAAAGAAAGGAAGCGGTGTCTCAGACAACGCGGCAGGTCGAATGGACGCTGGCCACTGATCCCGTCGGTTTTCAGCGGGTTGAGTTAGACTTGTATGAAGTCCTCTCTTAAGGAGGAAAACGACATCCAGGCAGCGAAGAGAATGAGAGACGCACCTTTCTCGCTGCGATGAGAGTGACAGCAACTGACGTGCGTCTGTGCGTTGGGGGGAGTGAAGTTAGGGAGGAAGAGGAGGCAAATACATTGTCATCAAACTTTCCCACGGTGGGCGTATTCCAGAGCTGAGGAGGCCATCCCATAAATTCCATGGACATTTTATCGGTGCCAAGAGGCAAGGCCAGGGAAACTCCGGCGCCGTAAAAGAATAAGGGCGACGGGCACCGTGCTAATGCCCCCGGCTTTGGGGCAGCGACACATTATCCCATCCATGGTTTAGAATGCAACTTAATGATTTATCTCTGATGTATCAGTGTTAAAGAGTTCAGGAGAATTTGGTCCCTTCCCCCAGCAAATATGTATAGACTAGGAAGAAGTTACAAGTAAGCCTAGTTCTTGTTGGAAAAGGACCTCCTAGAATTTAGACAAATCTACCTAGGAGAAAAGACTGAGTATTATATTTACCCAGTGCGCGCCCCTGTTCCTGCAGTCATTCCCTCTGATTTCAACCGATAAGCGAATCTGCATTTCTAATATGTGAGTCTTAAGCTGCTAATTGTGTCATTGTGTGAAATATATTGCAAAGCGGTTTCCTCTTCCCCCTCCCCCTCCGCACCAGACGTACAAGTTGTGTGCAGGCAATTATTGCGAAAGGTTTGGAAAATGTATACAAACATCTGCACGTATTCTATATGCAGCATATTTCTATTCACACCATGTGCGACAGAAGGTCTCCCTTATGTGCCTGGAGTGTTTTACGCCGGTAAATGGAAATCACAAAAGAGAAAGTTGAACACCCTCTATGGGAAGAAGCAGCTATCAGAAGGCAATAGAGCTAAGAAAAAGGAGAAATCTCCTGGTTTAAAAGAAATGAAAAGTAAAGAAGGCAAGAAGAAAGGAAGGAATGAAAATGAAAAAGAAAACGTTTAAACCTACAATTCTGTGTAAATACTTACAGTATTTGGCCCCTCTAAATAAAGCAGAACTTATTTCGAAGTAAATATGAGTGGAAAGTTCAAAACCGTCTCTAACCAAGCCAGAAAAGAAGTTTTGAAAGATTTCTATTAAATCTCGGGGTTTAAAACGTGGAGCTATTAGACTATAATACTGTAGTAGTTGTTGCTGTTTGCGTGATGATGATGTAATCGCGCCCATAATTTTTTTGCCTTGATTCTTAGTTTTTAGGCTTGACCCTTTCGTCCACCGCCCAAGCACCAGAAATACTGAGAAATAATAATAAGTATTACTTTATTTGACTAACCAAAAAGACATAAAAAGTTGTACAGATTTTTTGCCATGTTTGTTAGTCTAATAAAAGTATTGTTCCGGTATGTATTTTGGAGCGCATTTTGTGACCAACACGGCTACCTTTACTGTTATTAATAAAAATTGTCAGATACCCGACTATAAATTTATTTTTAAACAGTTTCGATAAAGATTTCTTTGGCAAAGCCCTTTAACAATATTATTTGACGAGAGAGGAACACCAAGTTTTAAAATTCTCCATCTTTATGAGATAAAATAAAAAAAACTCCACCTCCCATTTAAACAAGCAAATAAACGAACAATGACTCAAGCAAGAAAACACACTAACTCCAAGGAATATTGAGGTTGTTGATTTCTCAACCCATAATTCGGGGCAGATTTATTTTTAATCCATGGGGCAGGCCCTCAAGATTTTTCTTGCAGGTAAAATCGGCTAGGTACAAAAAGTTACTTGGGCTCAGGTTCACAATGCCAGTAAATTCATTTCATTTCCTTCCGGAGGAGCTGCGAACGGTGAAGACGATTCTGGTTATTTCCACTTCGCTCGTACGAAAAAGTAGAGAAAATGAATGGACGGAGAACTGAATCCCGGAGCCTCGCCCAACGTGGGTGTCCGGCTCTACCTTTAGACCAAGAGGAAGAGTTACGGACAGCGGAGTGCGGTTCTCATCTTCCCGCTCGTAAAGCTCCCAGGTTAGACAGCCGGTTGCTGTTTTTTTGTTCTAAATGGGCCCCAGGAACTTACAGTCTTCTGAGGCCTGACCAGAAAGTCCCGGAAGCTACAGCGTTTGCCAAGGTTGCAAATAAACGAGAAAACTCAAACTGCGGGTCCAGCCCTTTCTCTTTCCTGCATGGCTCTTAGGGTGTGGTAGGTGCCTTGGAGGAGGCGAGGGGGGGGGAGGGAGGAGAGGAAGTGGGAAACTTCTTGTGCCATGTTGGGGTTGGGCGGCTGAGAACTCGAGCCGTGTCTGGTTCTCTGGTCCTAGGGCTCAGGTACCCTGACTTCTTTCTCCTCGACCAGTATTGTTTGACTGGGCGCCCTTTGGTGGGGAGTAAACCGGGGGAGTTACGGACGCCAAGGAGTAAAAAGAAATGGTTAAGTGGCCCCTGGAATAAGAAGGGTGTTTGTTTTGTTTGTTTGTTTGCCTGCCCGTACAGTACCTCCTTCCTGAGAAAATTCCCATTGGACTTCCACTCTAAACTTGAATCTGAGAATTTGTCTCCCAGTCCCTGGTGAGGTCACTGAGATTTATCCATCCTTGGAATTTGCAAGGCAAAAACCAGAAAGGAAAGAAGAAAATGGGGGGCGATCAACGTGCTGCCTCGACCCTTCATGGAGGAGAACAGGTGTAGCACTCAAGTGTGCACACTCCTCTCCCGGAGTTTAGAAAAGTTCCTTTTGAGGGGAGTTACAAATTCCAATTTAGCATCGCCGTTATGTCGAATGCTTCCTACGGCAATTCCTTACTCCCCGGTGGATTTTGGCAGTTGTAGTCCGAAAAGAGATCCAAAGCTCTCCTGGGCCTTTTGTGTGTTTGGATCTTTTTAACAAGCCCTGGACAATAACATTCGGTAGTCGGCATAAACACAAACGCTGGGAAAAGATAAACAACCAGCACCACCTACCTGATTATTATTTTCGAAGTGGTGGTGCCAACAACAACTTAACTATTAGATTATTTTGCAACCCAGGAAACTCAAGCAAACCGACCGGTCCTTTGGGACTATTTATGCATCTGGTCTGTGTGGGGTGTGCGTGCGTGCGTGCCTGTGGTGTGTTTGTGTGTGTGTGTGTGTGTGTGTGAGAGAGAGAGAGAGAGAGAGAGAGAGAGAGAGAGAGAGAGAGAGAGAGAGAGAGAGAGAGAGAGAGAGAGAGAGAGAGAGAGAGAGAGAGAGAGAGCGAGAGCGAGAGAGAATCTTCAGTCTGATTTCTTCTTTTTGTCACTGCTGGCTCATAAACGTTTGTTGAGCCCCACTGGTTCCAGAGAAATTTAAAACTTGAGAAAGTTTGAGTCGTTTTCAGCCCGAACATTTCAAAAGTCCTGTTTTCTTTGGTGGGAGGGATGTACAGTGAAAACTTAGGTTCACTCGAAAGTAAGTGACAACAAGTGAGAGCATGACTGTAGTAGTTTCACATTTGGCTGAAATGTATGAGCAGAGAAATGTGATTCCTCTAGCAGTGGAACCAGAGATAATTTCTGTGTGTAAAATTCAGATTATGATAGCTAGTATCCTATCATCTACCCATCTGCTCATAAACACACAGCCTTAAACTGGTTTACTTGAGCGCTTAGAATATCCTGTTGCGTAACGAGATTAACGCAGTCAGGATGCTTTGGTACCTTTATGAAGACTGCACTCCTTTTAAACGTACTTACTCACCAGTAATTCCCAGTAAAATCAAGGGGGCTTGCAAGTAAACATGCTCAGGATGACATTTTTTTTAAAAAAATTTATTTCCACTCAACAAGGCTGCGTCGTTTATAAGTGAAGCACACCCACACTGGAAAGTATTATTCATGTCTACTAGAGTACAAACTTTAGAACGAACCATCTTTAGGGAGATCCTCAAACTTCTGGAAAACCCCATGGTACCTAAATCCATCTTCGTTCTGCCTGTCTGTCGTTACTGAAACGTTAACTTGGTGCTGGTGGAGTTGAACTTGACTCTTGCTTGAGAAGTTGTTTGTTTTCCGGTGAGAGATGATCGATGTCTTTAAATCGCTCAACAAAACGAGCAGGCGGCCACTACGTGAGGGAAAAAAAAAACACACACAAAAACCTCGACCTTCCGAAGTTCAGGTGGTGCGAAATTCAGTTTGAAATTCCAGAACGTCGCCTGGCTTATGTAAGCGAGATTCAGAGGGCAAAAATGTACCGTCCTTCTATCTATCTATAAGAGGGGCAGAAAAAGAAGCCTTTTTACAGTCCTTGGCATAGCAGGGTGGCAATAAACATGAGTTCACAACATTAATTTTCGTTAATGTTGCCTTCACTTCTGGCCTTCAGAGAAGGCTGGAAAACCTCGGGGTAAAATCCCCGGTCTTTGGAGATATATACCAAATGTAGACATTTACACAGAGCAGCGGGCTTGGAGTCCTGAGCGCTAAATAGAACTTCCAGGAATAGAGGAAGTCTACACTTGGAACATCAGATATTAGGCACTACCTATTAGAAAGGCCATGGCGTGCTCGGCACATCCTGCTTCTTCCTTGTTTAGGATGGGGTGAAAGCGGTTGGCATTGCACACAAAAGGTCAGCAATGGCGCGGGGGGGGGGCGCTTTGATCTGACCCAGGGAAGGCATGACTTATTTCTAAACTACCAGAAAAACTGAAGGGGCTTGGCTGGGCTTGGCTTTGTCTGATGTGCGGAGAAAACGGTGAAAAAGCGGGAGTCTTGCATCATACATCTAGAATGCCACCCCTTACTCTTCCAGGTACATATTAACTAAGTGGATCAAGCATCTGGCGTGACCGCCAGGGAGGATAAGGGGCAAACGCACAGCTGAAGTCCAGCAAATAATAATAATAATAATAATAATAATAATAATAATAATAATAATAATACATAAAAATCTAATAGTTCAGTTGTTAAGCACTTGGCGAGACGCGGTGGAAACTTGACTGTCTGCTTTTGGCCGATTCAAGGCCCCGGACATACACCGGGCAAAAATAAGGAGCTCTCTTGATCGCAGAGATACCGCCTGAACAATCTCTGGATCGCGTGTCCGCTCCCATATAGTGAAGCCTCCGGTAGCCCTACAGGTGTAATCGACTCTGAAAAGAACATAGGAACAGTATGTAGATAATTAGGCTAATTGCTGGGAGGAACATAATTGGCGCTATATTTTCCTGTAGCAGTGTGTGTGTATATCGTTTCTCCCTTGGTAAATACATATTTAAGAAGAAGCTCTCGACTGCCTGTCTCGACATGTTCTTATGTTTTGAAGAATAAGAGAGAAACAACAGGCCTATTACAATCGTTCTCCACTCCATCTGATTAGACATTTAATATTTCTTGTTTGCGTTTTTTATCCTTGGAAATACATGTGTGTGTACATGTATGTATATAGTTTCTCACAAATCACACACACAGACACACACTATATATGCGCGCACACATGTATGTATATGAAAATATATATATATATATATTTCATGCACTTTTTCTTTCTAATTTCGCAATTTAAGCTCTAAGAATGTGGATTTTTCTTTTAAACGCCCCCCTCCTTTCCTCACCAGCCCCGCTGCCAAAAGGACTGCATTCTATTTATAAATGTTAGGGAAGTGTACATTACTTCCCACCCAACAAAACAGGAACGAAGCGGCAATTTCTCAGCGAATAGGATTCGAAAATATAGATTTTTTTTAAAGCGGCAAAGTATAATTCAATCAAATTATAGAAAATTGCTTCAAAATCCAGAGCAGGAGCGATCCATTATGTCTGTTTTATTAGTGACAAGTACAATTACTCTAAACTAAAAGAACACTGGTGAATATATAATTGGCCGTAATCACGTTAGTGTTTGAATAAAAATGACGGGAACATTTAACACTTTGACAACAAAATGTTCGGGAGGAAGGAAGGGGGGGACTTATTTATTCAAACAGTTTTTATTTGTAACTAACCACGTGAGGAAGAACACACACTTTTGCTTTGGAGCGATCTATGACTTTCACCCACCCCTCCACTCTCTCTGATAAAAAGCAAATAACGGGTGTGCGTGTATCTCCGGCGCCCGCGCGCGCGCACGCGTTTATGCACGACTGTGCACGGGAACGATTTTGAGTGCACCTCTGCAGCCATAGACACTGCCTGAAGGACGCCACCTACAGGAGAAGGTTCCTCTCCTTCCCTCCCTCTCGCCCCCCCCCCCCCCCGCGCAGCCAATCGCTGAGAAAGTCCTCACATCCGTGTTAGTATTCCTCCTTAAATTGGGCTCCCAAACAACTACGATCACAATATTTGCTGTGGAGTTTCCTTAGTTTGTTAACACTTGACGTGATCCGCGGATCGGATTGTGAGAAGCCCCTCCCATGTCGGTGGCATGGATCGGCGAAGTTTAATAACAGCAGCGACAGCGACAAGGGTGAGGGGAAGGCACGGAAAGAGAATGAGAGAGAGAGAGA